AAAAAAAGGAATTAGAAACATTGGCAAGATCATGGCTAAAAAAAGGTTTTTAAAAACGTCACATTATGATTTGCATAAAATTATAAAGGATATAATCAAGAAAAGTGGATTGATCATCATGAAAATCTTCAAAGAAGCTGGTCTATCAAATGCAAATAGAACTGATATCACACTTGAATGTTATAAACGGATCCTGCTAGACGTTGTGGTTCCTAGAGGCAGGAAATGGGGAAGATGAAGCAGGCAATAAATAAATAAATAAATAAAATAAAGAAGTACCAAGTGATACCTAGCAACGCAAAGCAGAGAAATATACAAAGCAGAAGTTCAAATTGTCCCTTTTGTGGTTGGCGCACTGGGACTATTTTCAGGAATCTTTCTGCCGCACACGACGCCTTGGGAGCGGGGGGGGGTACCTAACGTCATTGGGAGTGCTCAGGTGGCGGTACTGGTTCAAACAAGAGGAAAGTGTTGTGTCTCTAATCTACGGGTAGGAGCTATGACATGATCCTCTCCACCCAGCCAAAACATATTCGGAGTGTCGGTGAGAATACCAAATCAAATATTAATGATATACCCTGTAGACTCCCGTTGTACAATAGGGCAGAAAGCTTTCCACGTTAAGTGTTGCCACTTTGGTTTTCAACGCAAATATATATATATATATATATATATATATATATATATATATATATATATATATATATATATATATATACTGAGTGACGGTTGTTTTTGTTTGTTTAGCGGCATATCAACTTCTTACGGTTCATTTAATGCCGAAATTTAATTTTCTTATTAATTAGTTGTACAAAAATGTATTGCTGGTAATATTTTTGCTTGTTTACCAAAACGTATTGCTGGAAACATTTTTATTTATTTAGAAAAAGGTCTTGCTGTAATACTTTCGTTGATTTAGAACAATGTATTGCTGGTAATACTTTTGTTGATATAGAAAAATGTATTGCTGGTAATACTTTTGTTGATTTAGAAAAATGTATTGCTGGTAATACTTTTGTTGATTTAGAAAAATGTCTTGCTTGTAATACTTTTGTTGATTTAGAAAAATGTCTTGCTTGTAATACTTTTGTTGATTTAGAAAAATGTCTTGCTTGTAATACTTTTGTTGATTTAGAAAAATGTCTTGCTGGTAATACTTTTGTTGATTTAGAAAAATGTCTTGCTGGTAATACTTTTGTTGATTTAAAAAGTGTATTGCTGGTAATACTTTTGTTGATTTAGAACAATGTATTGCTGGTAATATTTTTTAAAAATGTATTGCTACTAATATTTTTTTTTAAAAAAATGTATTGCTGGAAATATTTCATTTTTTACAAAATTATATTGCTGGTAATAATTGTTTTTTTATTTCTCTTTTGTGAAAATGTATTGCTGGTAATTTCTTTTACTATGAAACTGTATTACCGGTATTTTTACTATAAAAATATATTTTTATTCTTTCATGTTGTTTTGACCCCAGCTTGGATGTTACCCATGGAACCTAACAGGGTTGACCTGGGAACAACAGTAATTAAAATGTGGTTCCACGCACCTCAAAAACTCCCGATCACAGGCCTTGCTGCCGGATGTAGTTTATCGTCATAACCAGGACGCTAAGTGACATTACTAGCTCTATGGCCAACTAATTTTGAATTCAGGTTTATCTCCTAGAATGTCTGTCAACTAAAGCTGGCGTTCCCAGTTATTAACACTATCTGGTAAGCGAGGGAGTGGGGAGAATGATTAGTACATTTTCAAAGGTATCTGTGAGAAAGTGAACGCAATGGCCTCCGCTGGAATTTGAACTTGACACACCAATTCCATTTTCAGCGCCGATAACCGCAACGCTTCACGCGCATCCATAAAGGAGGCCACTCCGTATGTACTATATTTAACATATTATCAGTGTTTGCATGAATTACTCACAAAATTAATTTCCAGGATTTTATAACATCCTTAGCAGAACGCTTAGCAGAAATATTGTTCTTTTTTTTTTAATTAAGTTTACAATGAGAAAGTTTGGTACATAGACATGGATATGAGTCATCCAGTGAAGATCACGCTCACTTAAAAACTCTGATATCTTGTGAATCAATATTTTACGGTTAAGTTGCCTCTAGCCTTATAGTATATGAAGTTTGGTTATTATTTACTTATAGCTTGACATGGTTCTTCGTGTTCCAATCTTGTAGCAGTACCGTTGAGTTGGTGGTTAGTGAAGCTGATCTACGCAGTTATCACTGAGAGATATCCAAACAGGATAGTTGTCTCGTTGTTGCATTGTAGTTCATTTATGTTAAATTTTAATCGACATGTTTCCAGCCATACTCTGTTGATAATGTAAAATTGTATGAGGTTGTTATTAGGTTGGTGCAAAAATAATGACGTAATAATGTCGTTTTTTTACGTATTTTTTAACGTCAAAAAACGACATTATTTTTGCACCAACCTAATACATATATTCGTTTATTTTTTCCAGATGTTCTGTGAATGATCTCGAAGAATAATCTTCCTCGCATTTTTGCTTTTTAGTAACTCTGGTCACCCTGTGAAACCGCTATTTTACACTAGTTTAAATTTACTTCATATTACAAACCCCCTTTGAAACGGAATGCTAAGAAGACAACAATGAGCATGTTCGACATCTCTTCGCTTTTATTCAAGGTGACAAAACTGGCCGGGACTTTTGTCCCGTTTACGGAAATGACTCCATTACCAACAGAATGTCACAGAAATGGTTTTCTCCTTTTCAAGGAGGGGGAAGTTTGAACTCACAGACTCTCCGCATTCTATCCGAACTATTCATTTTGATGGGAACCAATTGCACGCGCTAATTAAAGAAGAAGTGTGCCAGACCGCAATGGAATTGGACCAGAAGATGGCAGGATCTCATTCTACTGTCGGTCGCCATCTTCACTCAATGGTTAAGGTCCAGAAACGCAGGCATTGGTTTCACACGCTTTGACCGAGAGAAAATCCAGCACTCCTCCATTGTTGCCAATTTACTCGTTCGACGCCAAGCCACTCGTCGATACACAGAAATAACCCACTTGGGAAGTTCTGCCACACCACCATATTTTCCTGATTTAGCTCCTTCAGCATACCAAATTCTTCGGTCGCTTTCTATCAATTTGGGGGTGTTTCATTCAAAAACGATGTGGAGTTTAAAACGTGGCTTATGAACTGTTCGTGTCAAAACCTAGATATTTATATTCTCGAGCCATTGAAGAGGTAGTGGCCCGTTGGCATGTCATAAACAATGAAGGAGAGTACGTTGTTAAGTGATTCAGGATAATAATACGTATTAAAATGTATTCTAAAAAGTGAAAGAATTCATGTAACAACCTAATAGCGCCTTTATAGTAAATTTTAATCGACATGTCTCCAGCCACCTTCAGGGGACATTGTAAAATACCTTAGATGCAAAGATATATGGTTTATTGGGACCTTTACTTTAGTTTTTTGTCGTTATAGCAATAAGAATTCCCGTTGTTTAACCATTGGTTCAATTTTTTAATCATTTCCCTACAAGTAAGTCAATTAAGCCACGAAGAGGCAAGGAGTTGGTGAGTGTGAGAGAATATGAGAAAAATAAAGCATTATTAAGGAGAGTGAATAATAAAAGAACAGGAATTAAAAAGACAAAAGATAACGATTGGCGTTGCATTTAAATTTTTGAAGGTCAAAATAGACTGGAAACCAGGAAGCCGGAAGTGATTTCTACAAGCGAGAAATGCGAGAGAAAAAGCTGTTGACATAGAACTTATGGTTGCATCCAGCCATTTCAACTCTAAAAAGGATCGGCACGCAATTGCGGACGAGTCTGGTGTGTTTCACTTCGAGTTATAACCCTGGGAAAATCGTAAATCTATCTCGTCACCCACCCAGACTTGTGTTAAATAGCAGGACAAACCTTGGCTCTCTAGCTAGCGAGTGTTGGATTCAAAAGCGTGGGGATAGACAAGAAACCACTCCACTATTTTTTCTAAGACGTCATGGAAATTAGCAGATAAGAAAGAAAACGAATTTGTGGAGAGCCAGGATCACGTACATCGTGAAAGAGCATGGCCTTTAAAAAAATGAAAATACAGTGTGTATGTATAGCATGGACGAAGTCACCACACACAGGAAAGCATATTAATAAACATAAAATATGTATACTTTCGTGATAATACTATATAGAAAAGCGTGACACATTTTCTTATCTCGCTATCAGCAACAGGTGAAAGAACATGGTAGACTGGGCTCTTTAGAAGCCAGTATAGGTAAAGGACTGATCAGAACGTAAAAGCACGGAGAAAGCAACCGGAAACTACTCCATTATCTTTCCTATAATTCATGGCAATTCGCTGATAAAAAAAATGAAGCTGTGGGGGAGCCATAATCGTCTATGCCCTGAAGTGATATGCATTTAAAAAAATAAAAAAATTACGTGTCTTTAAAAGTACACAATGAGAAAGAATATGAATAACACACCATAGGCATACTGTCAAAAAAAACAAAAACAAAAAACAAAAAACAAAAAACGCTTATCTGGCCAGCACCTATGAGTCCATTAGCAGGGTATCCCCAACTCTTTAGCTTTGGATGATGCAAGTCTAAGTGAAAAACAATTCGAAATTCAAAACAACAATGGCAAACCACTCTACTACCTTTGCCAAGACGTAATGGCAATTCAAAGATAATAAAGAAAAGGAGACAGTAGAAAGGCATGATTGCGTATGTTCTAAAGGGATATGACATAAATAAAATCTTGGCTATTATCTGCCTGGAATGATCGAAAGGTTATTCAAGGTTATTTACTTCGAATCAGCGTATCAACTTTACCCCTGTCTTTCTTTTACAACAAACAGTGAGATCCTAACTTATGAATGGCTGCATTCAGGCAGAAAATTCAAACTTGTCGTCTGTATCAATCATTTTTTAACGTTGAATGGCCGGTTCAAAATTTTATTTCTTGTTATTTTTTTTTTCACTTTTTTTTTGTTTAATATTTCTTTATGCTTCTATTTTTTCTTTTATTTCAAAATGTTTTTATCAATTATTTTCTTTTTCTTTCTTTCTTTGCGTTTTTCTTTCTTTTTTTATTTAAATTTAATTTTGATGTTATTTCTTTCTTTTTTCTCGTAGATTCCGTTTCTCGATCTCTTTTTCTTCCTTTGGCTGCTTTTTCAGTGTTTCCTCCTTTCTTATCTTTTCTTTCGTTCTTTTTTGTCTTTTTCAGTTCTCTCTCTCTCTCTCTCTCTCTCTCTCTCTCTCTCTCTCTTTCTTTCTCTCTCTTTCTTTCAGTGCCTTTTCTGTGCTTCCAACTTTCTTTGTTTATTTCAGTACTTGCCATCTATTTGTTTGTTAATTTATCTTTTTGTTTGTTTCTTTTTCACCTTCTTTGTATATTCATTCCAGAGCTTCTATTTCTAACCCAGTCCGTCCTTCCCTCCTTCCTTCCTTCCTTCCTTCGCTCGCTTCTTTCACACTTTTCTTGCTCTGTTAGTTAACGGGGTAAAGAATTAGTCGCAACTTTGAATATAAACGACAATGAACCAAATCAGTCCGTGGACAACAACAAAGGCAATAACAACGACCACGAAAAAGAAATCACATGTTAGTCACATGACGTCCCCACCATGTATGCTATCAACCCAGCTATCCGTTCATCTGCCCATCTAACAAGACAGTTGTGCAAGTCCCGTCCGCGCCCACTTCAAAACATTTTTTTTTGTTTTAATAACCGTTTTAGTGCTCTGACATCTTAAACGCCCTAAATAGAATTATATACGGCATATGACTGGCATTCCGATACGTCTATCGCTGATAATTTCACTATCTAATCATCTTTCTCCTCCTCTTCTTTTTCCCACCTCTTCGTAGCCTACTTACTTTCAATGACGGACCGGTCGAAAAGTTAAACATTTCTCACACTTTCCAAAAAGCCGAGCTACCCACATATCTTCTGTTTTATTTGGCGTCTTTTTCTCTCTTTTTCTTTTCTTTCTGTATTTCTTTCATTATTTGTTTATATGTCTTCTTTTCTCGTAAGGAAGACATCGCTTACAGAGAGGTGCGTTTAGGATTAGCTACTGGCGGCCACAGTCTTAGCAATATAAGATATGCAGATGACATGATGCACGGTGGAGCGGCTCGGATTGAGCAATCGGAGAGCCGAGTTCGAATTCCAGTCGAATCCATTACATTCACTTACGTGCTAATGCCTTTGGGAAAGGTAGGAATCCTCTTCTTCTCCCGCCTAGCTATGGGTAAATAGCAGGACAGACCGGATTCTATAGCCTGGGATGGCAACTGGTCTACCGCAGAAAGAAATGGCAACCTACTGCGGGAAAAAAATCTGCCTCGTGTATCACGCATGGCTCAAAACTGAGTAAGATGACATATTGCTAAAAACAGACACACAAAGGAAGCAACAAAATCTTCTACACAAGTTATTGAAGGAAAGCGAGAACAAAGGACTAAGCATAAACAACAAGAAGATAGAATGCATTGGTTGTTAGCAAAAATGGGATCTTAAAATGCAAATTACAGGTCGGGGATATTAGAATCAAGACAATTAAATATTCGTGAATTGTTCTAACAGAGGACAGGAAGTGCGACACTGAGATCCGAAGAGACATTGGGATGGCCAAAGACGCATTCCAGAATCTAAGCAGAATAAAGAGGGACAGAAAATTTTAGTTGGAAACAAAGAAAGGAGTACTGGACTGAATGTTATGTGATATCTATCATCCTGTATGGCAGCGAATGCTGGACATTCTCCTCAGAGATGAAGAAGAGACTTGAAGCAACAGAAATGCAATCGTTATCGAGGATACCATTGACCGAATATGTGAGCAAGGATGGGATTTTGGAGAGAATGGAAACAAAGAGAAAACTTATCATCAGGAAGAGGCAGTTGAAATTTCTGGGGCATGTAATAAGGAAGGAGAGCTTGGAAAATCTGATACTCACAGGACACATAGAGGGAAAGAGGGACAGAGAAAAACAGCGCGTAACATATTTGATGGGCAGTTGAACAGGATTTGGGAGAGATAACAAAAATCCAAAACTTATTAAGAGCTACAAGGGACAGGACGATGTGGAGGTCCATGATTACCTACGTCCTAAAGAGACTCGGCACATAAAAAAGGAGAAAATATGACAGTTAATGCTGAACAATCTCCCAAGGAAGAGACTTGAGACAACAGAAATGTGGTTCTACAGAAGGATGCTGAGAATCCCATGGACCGAGCATGTGAGCAGCGACAAAGAAAATAGAAACAGAAAGATACAGTCGAAATTTCTAGGATTGCATTGATTGATTTGTTTGTTTAATGACATTCAACTCCTTATGGGTCATTTAACGTCTAAATCTAATGTTCTTTGGAGCGTTGCAGAAATATGTTATTCTACTTTCATAATTGAAGACATTGTTATGGTCCGGTTCCTTGTACCACTGCGATAGTGCAAGGTAAAACCAATAAAGAAGAACTCGAATACGGATGTGGAATAACACAGATATATTGCAAGCAGGAATATATACAGAGAAGTAGAAAGTTTTAGCACGAACAAACAGGTTTAGTAGTAATTGTCTGAACGCGACTCTGTTTCGGACTGCCTCTGACTTGACTGACTGACTCGCTCGCTCTGACTGACTGACAGACTCCTGACGGACTTCACTCCAGACTTCAGACTGAACTCAGACTTCAGACGGAACAGTATTTAGTCACCCACCCACGAGGGCATCATGTCTGGTTTAACGTGGGATCTCCACACCCGTGGGCTCGGCCAAAAAATATGCCCTTTGAACCCGTATAAACGGGTTCAGGGTCGGTTTACCTCCCCGAAAGAGACTCCGCCCTTCGGCGTAGCCTCCTTCGGGTTCCTCCCCGTCCGAAGACAGGGAGTTCAACCGATCTCCGAGCCCGTGGGCTCGGCCAAAAAATATGCCCATTCAACCCGTATAAACAGGTTCAGGGTCGGTTTACCTCCCCGAAAGAGACTCCGCCCTTCGGCGTAGCCTCGTTCGGGTTCCTCTCCGCCCGAAGGCAGAGAGTTCAACCGATCAGTCGGTCGCCCGACTTCGGACTGAACTCCCTGCTTCCTCTTGAGGCGCAGTATTTATTACGTATGGAATAGTCCATTATGTTATTATGGGTAAAGTCCCATAACAGGCATGATAGATGATACTAGGCTTTCGTGCATATACATGTTTGTGTGGACTAGAGGCGGTGATGTGTTCTTTTTATTTTGTAATTTTGTAGAAGCTATATTTTGGAATACAGTTTGATTTAAGAAATTGTAGGATATTATGTGAATTAACGTGATGGAAAGGATTCTTTCATGTTGGCTGTTTGGGGGATTTTGTTTCGCGGCATATCAGCCTCTGTGGGTTATTTAATGCTGAAATCTAGATATTTTGAAAGCAGTGCCATGCCTTCAAATACAGATAAAATTTATTGTTGGTAACTCTACAATAAATAGGTACTCTTGATAATTTCACTACTTATATCTATTGTTGGTAAATAGGTACAGTTGGTAATTTCACTACTTATATGTATTGTTGGTAAATAGGTACTCTTGGTAATTTCACTACTTATATGTATTGTTGGCAAATAGGTACTCATGGTAATTTCACTACTTATATGTATTGTTGCTGTTGTGGATTCCGGGTTGAAATCCGGTACCAATGAATAACAAACGCCAGGAATGAATATATGAAAATAAATGTATTAACGTAATAATACAAACTGGTAAAGCAGGTTAGTAGTTCCAGGAATACGGGTTAGTAGCAAAATATATATACAGTCTTTGGTATCGACATATCGCTGTATGACTTCTTACTGGGTCTACGTGCTTGCTCACTGTGACTCCTACAATGCTGTTACCTCACCCTGACTCTTCTGGTTACCTGAAACCTTTTACTCTGTCACTCTGAACTCGACTCGACTCGAGTCTTCGGTCTTGCTCTCGTCTTGTCTTTCAGGTATTCACTGGCAGTAGCATAAGTATACACTGGGTGATTCCATTTATATAAAAAGGGGTGGGCCCCTGAACAGTTGGTAAATAGGTACTCTTGGTAATTTCATTACTTATATGTATTGTTGGTAAATAGGTACAGTTGGTAATTTCACTACTTATATGTATTGTTGGTAAATAGGTACTCTTGGTAATTTCCCTACTTATATGTATTGTTTGTAAATAGGTACAGTTGGTAATTTCACTACTTATATGTATTGTTGGTAAATAGGTACTCTTGGTAATTTCATTACTTATATGTATTGTTGGTAATCTTATTTATATAAAAATGTATTGCTGAAAACTTTACTATGAAAAATATTTTTATACTTTCACGGGGGTTTCGTTTTTGTTTGAGTGTTCACTATTTGCCCATAGCTACCACGCCAGGTCAGGGTGGGCCTGCGATCTACAGCAATTAAGAGGTGGTTTTACGCACCCCAAAACCTCCCACCTCCTGATCAGAGGTCTTCCTGCTGGATATAGTTTATCGTCATTTCCAGAAATATAAATCTCTAGAACACATAATGTGGAAAAGCTGCTTGGAAAATGTGATAAATTGTAGAAAGCCATGATCTTGAAGAGATAAAGCACATAGAAGAAGATGTCCCGAGAACTTTCAAGACGTGATTGATCAAGACTGACCACGACTTCCTGTATTTTTGCTCTAAGTCAATGACTAGGTAGCTGCCAAAGCAAGAAATGTTCCTAAGGCCTACGAATGATATGAGATGGTAGAGCGCGAGCCATGATCCCTTACGCTCGGAAGGGATACGGCTTATAGAAGATGTACCAAATATTTCAAGATATGTGTGATCTAGGTTCTCGACAATCTCTTGGTTTTTTGTTTATCAAAGTAACTTTTCTCGCATAACCATGCATCCTCTTAAAGAGCCTTGTCAGATTTAGACACTATCATCTGTATATAACCGCTTACCAATCTAGACACTATTACGGCATCCAACTTGCACAGATGCTGTCTATCATCTGTATACAACCACTTTCCCGTCTCAATAATTAAACATGGATTCAAGCAAAGGAAGTCTATGGGTCTTGAAGAGATTTGTCATTTGTTAGATCTTATAGCTTGGCGTTATAGAATCAGAAAAATCTTTACCAAATAACAGAAACCACATCAGTTGAAGATCTGCAACAGCAACAACTAAAACATACAGTACATTTGGCACGAAAAGAAAATAGTGACGTAATCAATGAATTTCCACATTACCTTAAAAAAAAGGTTAGAAAGTGTCCTTCGTGTAGTTACATCAAGGTAAACATCAATATAACCTGCTGAAGTTCTAAAGAACGAAATACGTGACACCAAATGATTTTTTCCACTTTGTTATTAAGTTTCCTAACACACACACACACACACACACACACACACACATATATATATATATATATATATAGTCATATCAGCGTTAACAAACCGGTTCGATGAAGTCCAAACGGATGAAACCGTCAAAAGAAAGACATAATATACAGCGGCAAAAAAGTTAACAACGTTATTAACAAAATGAAACTAGATAAACACAAATACATAATGCTAGCTATAAACTCTATAATGTCGGTGTGTGTATACATAGGCAATTGTCTTTGTTTCTGCTGTTGGAATTGTGTATCGAATTTCCAACAACAACAACGGGCTGCCGGGGTGTTGCTGTCATTTTACAGATCGTTTGTTTATTTTGTCTAAAGGTATAATACTTTCTCACGCACACATACACGCATATGTACGTGTACATATATTTCTATCCGTCTCGATTTTGTAATACTTAAAATGGATTCTGCAAGAGATTATTGTTATTATTTTTGACGTTGCTTATTTGGGTGTTGTAGACAATTACATATATATAAATGGTAGAAATTCTAATTTATAATACTTATTGGTATTTATACGGAAAATTGGCCCTAATTTCGATAAGGGGTGAATATAATTGTAAAACAATGCGGCGATGATAATCATAGTGGTGGTGAAATAGTGATAATGTAATAATAATTGCAATGTTGAAAGCAATGACAATGCTAAACCATAATGAGAGTAAT